AGCAGGAAACAATGTTTTACTGTGCCAGCACAGACTCAGCAGACTCATGTCCAAAGGCTGAGCCCTGAGAACAAAGGGATCTCACCTTATATAACCTCGCAAGCAGGTTACAGAAGCAAAAAGCAAGGTCTAATCCATATATGGTTATATTTAATTTTATTGGCTACTTTATCCTAGTGCTACATGACTTTCCCCTCCCTGGTGCTACATGACTTTCCCTCATCTTCAGATTTCTCAGGTTTTACCTCTCTGCTATGCCATCCCTACCTTCCTGCTACTTTCTCAGTACTCAGGCCTAGTCTGCTTTCTTCTGATCCACCTTGCTACAACTTCACTTAACATGATGTCCTCCAGTTGCAGCCATTTACCTTCAAACCACATGTAAGTATTCCTATGGGTGAGTAATACTCCATTGTGTATCTATACCACAATTTCAGAATTCATTCACCAGTTGTAGGGCACTTCGGCTGTTCCAAACCTTGACTATTGTGAATAGTGCTGTGATGAACATCAGTGTACAGGTGTCTCTGTTGTATGCTGTCTTATGTTCCTTTGGGCAGATGGCCAAGAGTGGTATCACTGGATCATATTGCATTTCTGTCTTTAGCTTTCTGAGAAATCTCTACACTGCTTTCCAGAGTGTTTATACTAATTTGCATTCCCCCCGACAGTGTATAAGTTTTCCTGTTTTGCCATATCCTCACCAGTATTTGTTGTTGTTATTACTCTTGATTATGACCATTCTAACTGGGGTGAGATGAAATCCAAGTGTTTATTTGCATCTCTTTTATAGCCAGGGAAATTGAACATTTCTTCATTTACTAGCCGTTTATACCTTTTCCATTGAGAATTCCCTGTTTAATTCCTGTGCCTATTTCTTCATTGGGGTGTTGATCCTTTGGGGACTGAGTTTTTTGAGTTCTTTGTAGATTCTGGATATTAGTCTCTTATTGGATGAGAGCTGGCATAGATTTTCTGCCATTCTGGGGGCTGTTTATTGAGTCAGGTGACTCTTTCCTTTGCTGTACAGAAGCTCTTTAGTTTGACACATCTTTCTTTTATGTGCTGAGCCTTTTTAGCTCTACTTAGTAAGTCATTCTCTATATCTATCTATTCCAGTGTATTTCCTACATCTTCCTGGAGTTGTTTCAAAGTTTCAGGCCATATATTAAGGTCTTTGATCCACTTTGAGTTGATTTTGGTACAGGGTGAAATACAGGGATCTAGTTTCAGTCTTCTGCATGTGGATATCCACTTTCCCCAGCAACATCTATTGAAGAGGGTTCCTTTTTTCCATCATGTGTTTGGGCTCCTTTGTCAAAGATCATTTGGCTGTAGATGCATGTTTTTATGTCTGGCTCTTCTATTCTGATCCATTGGCCTTCCTGTCTGTTTTTGTGCCAATACCATGCTGTTTGTATTGTTATGGATCTTTAATAGAGTTTGAAGTTGGGTATTGTGATGCCTCCAGCATTGGGTTTTTCTCAGAATTGCTTTGGCAATTCAAGGTCTTTTGTGTTTCATATGTATTTCAAGATTGATTTTTCTATTTCTGTGCAGAATGTCATTGGACTTTTGATAGAGATTGCCTTGAACATGCAGATTACTTTTGGTAGTATGGCCATTTTCACAATGTTGATTCTCCCAATTCATGAGGGTGGAAGTTCTTTCCATCTTCTGATGTCTTCTTCAATTTCTCTCTTCAGTGGTTTATAGTTTTTATTAAAAAACTATAAAGAAGGCTACTGATTTACATATGTTAATTTTGTAACCTGCTACTTTGCTGAAAGAGTTTATGGATTCTGATTTTTTTGTAGAGTTTTTAGGATCTCTTAGGTATAGGATGATGATATCTGCAAATGGGGATAGTTTGACTTCTTCCTTCCCTATTTAAATCTCTTTTGTTTCTTACTCTTGTCATATTGCTCTGGCTAGGAATTCCAAAACTATGTTGAATAGGAATGGAGAAAGCAGACAGCCCTGTCTCATTCCTTACTTAAAGGGGAATGGTTTCAGTTGTTCTCCGTTTAGTTGATGTTGGTTCTAGGTTTGTCATACATAGCCTTTATTATGTTGAGGACCATTCCTTCTATTCCTAGTTTCTTCAGAGCTTTTATCATGAAAGGGTGTTGGATTTTGTCAAATGATTTTTCTGCATCTATTGAGATGATCCAGTGGTTTTTGTCTATGGTTCAGTTTATATGCTGTATTGCATTTATGGATTTATGTATGTTGAACCATCCTCACATCCCCGGAATGAAACTAATCTGGTCATGGTGTATGATCTTTTTGATGTGTTATTGAATTCTGTTTGCCAGTATTTTGTTGTGAATCTTTGTGTCTATATTCATTAAATATATTGGTCTATGATAATCTTTTCTGGTTGTGTCTTCATTGGGTTTTAGAATGAATGTAATGCTAGAATAGAGTGAATTTGGTAGTGTTTCTTCCCTTTCTATTTCCTGGAAAAGTTTGAGGAGTATTGGTGTTAGTTCTTCTTTGAAAGTTTGTAAAATTCAGTTGTGAATCCATCAGGTCATGAGCTCTTCTTTGTAGGAAGTATCTTTATTACTGCTTCAATTTCATTGCATGTATTAGGACTATTTAAGCCTTTAATATCATCTTGGTTCAATATTGGTTGGTTATATGAATCTAGGAATTTATCCATTTCTTCTAGGTATTCCAGTTTACTTGAATATGTTTTCAAAGTACTCTCTAACGATTCTTTGGATTTCATTAGTATTTGTGGGTATGTACCCCTTTTCATGTCAGATTTTTTTAATTTGGGTCTTTTTATGTCTGAATTTATTAATTTTGGGTTTTGTCATGTTGGCTAAAGGTTTGTTGATCTCTTTAATCTTTTTGAAGAACCAAATTTTTGTTTCATTGATTCTTTGTATAGTTTTGTTTTCTTTTTGTCCTGATCTCATTGATCTTGGCCCTGATATTTATTATTTCTCTCCATCTGCTTATTTGGGGTTTGGTTTGTTTTTGTTTTTCTAAGAGCTTAAGACACATCATTAGCCAGAGCAATAAGTTTATTTGAGAGATCTTTGTTTTTTTAATGTAGGAATTTATAGCTCTAAACTTTCCCATTAGGATTTCCTTTGCTGTGTCCCACAGATTCTGGTAGATTGTATTTTCTTTTTCATTGGATTCTGGGAACATTTTTATTTCTTCCCTTATTTCTTCAGTCACCCACTGGTTTCTTAGCAATGTGTTGTCCAGTCTCCATGTATTTGAATATTTTCTGTAGTGTCTTTTGTTGTTGTGGTCTAGTCCCATTGTGATCTGATGTGATGCAGGGAGTTATTCCAATTTTCTTGAATTTGTTGAGACTTACTTTGTGTCCTAAAACATGATATATGTTGGAGAAAGTTCCATAAGCTGCAGAAAAAAATATGTATTGCCTGAATTTTGGGTGAAATACTCTGTAGATATCAACCATGTCTATTTGGCCTAATGTGTGGAGTAGCTCTGAGGTTTCTTTTTTGTTCTTTTGCTTAGATTATTTATCTGTTGGTGACAGTGGGGTATTCAGGTCTCCCACTATCACTGTGTTAGGGTCTATCTGTGCTCTTAGGTCCATTATAGTTTTTTTAATGTAGATGATTACTCCTGTGTTTGGTGCATATATGTTAAGAGTTGATATTTCCTATTGATGAATTGTTCCTTGAATTAATATGAAGTATTATGATTTTATTTTCTATCACCTCTGAAACTTTAAGCCATTAAAAAAAAAAACAAAAGGCACACTTCTCAATTTTACCTCCTTAAGGGAATATTCTTAAAGTATTCCTTACTTAGAGTTTTAATATACCAATTTAAAAAAAAAGAGAGAGACAATTTAACCTGAAGTTACTTTAAACAGTTTGCTGTAAAGGTACCCTGCCTACTTGTAAATTAAGTGCCAATTCCAGTGCTCTGCAAAAGAAATAAGTCTCTATGTACAATATATTCCATTCATAACACAGGATTAGACAATTTCCTTGGATAGTTTAGCATAAATTTTAACACAAGTTAATTTTGCTTTTTGACAAGTCAAAATAAAATAAAAAGTATTATTTGGAAAACTTATTACTGTTGTGTGAATAATATGTTTTGAAGATTAGACATAACTGAATGACTGCTGAAAATGCATGAGCTTCTAGTTTTCTACAGAATTCTTTTTTTTTTTTTTCTTTTTCTGAGGTGCAATTGGGAGGTGAACTCAGGGCCTCACACTTGCTAGCACTTGAGCCAGGCTGCCAGCCTTTTTGCTCTGGTTATTTTGGAGATTGGGTCTCTGTTTTTGCCTGTGGCCTGGACCGTGATCCTCCTAATTTATGCTTTCTTGTTTAGCTGTGATGACAGGTATGTGCCACTATGCCCAGGCATTGGTCAAGATGAGGTCTCTAGAACTTTTTGCCCTGGCAGGCCTCCAACCAGGATCCTTACCTTGCCTCTGGAATAGTTACGATTACAGGCTTGTGTCACTGTGCCTGCACAATACATTTAAGCTAAATGTTTCAAACTATCCCACAATGCGCTGGATTGTGACAACGGGATTTAATAAAGAAGCAATAGTCAACATGGCTATCACGTGGGTAGGAACTAATCCCACACTATATCATTCTGGTCTATTTGCAGCAACACCACAGGTAAATGAAGTGTCCCTTGCCCCTGCAAGAGCTACGCAGAGCCTTGTGGGAAATGTAGTCTCCTTCAATACAGTCACCAGCATCATCAGGAGCGCAGCTCTTCCGGGCTTCTTCTGGGCAGGCGCAGCCCTGCTCCCGCCAGTTTCCTCCCGGAAGGTCCAAGACCTGTGTCTCTGAGGAAACTGTCCCGCGGAATTTGAGTTCTGAGGGGGAGTCCCTGAAAATCCATGTGAGGGTGTGAGAGAAAGCGGCCTCGGGGATCCTGGAGTGTTGGCAGAACGGCAAGTGGTCATCCCGTGAGTCGGTGACACAGGTGGCGGGCGGAGCCCAGCCGGGCTAGGAGGGAAAGTCGCAGTGGTCATGTGTGTGACTGCGCAGCGTCTGCAGTGTGACTGCAGCCAGGAAGGTGCACCTTGGAGCAAAGCCTTTCCTCACTTGGTCGTGTCACATCTAGTGGCGTCCTCGTGGCCAGCACACGTCAGTGGCACAGCGCAGATCATTGTCTTGCGGATGCCGGAGGCGCCTCCTTGGAACTGTCAAGGGGAAGGTGTTCCCAAGTTGCAGGTACGTTTGTTATGCACGAGCATCAGCAAAAATGCTGCGTTGCAGCGTGCATGTCTCCCATGAAAAGAGGAGGAATTACAGTTGGAATGCTTCTGGAGTCCCGTGGTGGAAGTAATTAGTTCATCCTATACTCCAAGTGATTGTATTTTTTTGTTTTTGGCAGTACTGGGGTTTGAACGCAGGGCCTCGCAAGCACTGCATCCTTGAGCTTCACCCCAACCCTTTTTGCTTTTAAGTAATTTTTCAGATAGTATCTTTTTACTATAACTTTTTGTTTGCTTGTTTAGCAGAGTAGTGGGATTTGAACTCAGGGCCTTGAAGCAAACAGTTTTACTACTTGAGCCATGCCTCAGACCATGATCTTTACTCCTGATCTGGTGTGAACTTGCTTTAACTCTTAACTACTTGTTTGGTGCCTTCAGTATTGACTGTGCCAGAGCATGAACCCTGGGAACAACAATCCAGTCCGGTGTCATTAGGTTATCAGCTCTGGAACCAGGACATTTAGCGGGAAACAGGAACTTGGCCAGCTAGGGAAAATAATCCTTTGTTCAGAATAGTAACTTTAGTCATATTCAGTATAGTCCATGAAGCGAGGCTGTGGAAAACGAATTAGATTAACATTTGTAGCAACAGTGGTTACTGGTTAAATCCTTTGACAGAAAAGACCCAGCCTGAGCTCATTCTTACAAGACCATGATCTTCCCCTTACCTCAGCTTTCTTTGTAGCTGGGATTGAAGACATGTGCCACCACATCCAGCCCCCTTGTGCACTTTTTTTGAATAGTTTGCCTTTTTATCTTTTCATTGTTGTTGGGGGCCCAGGTACATTTTTAGTCAAGACATAATGTCTGTTTAAAGTATTTTTTTCTTTCTCTTTTTTTTTAATGGGAGTGGGGTTTGAACTCAGGGCTCTGTGCTTGCAGTAAGTCACCTTCAAGGGGGGGTGTCCATTTCTAACATAGCTTCTTTGCTTATTTTGTTCACTAACAGGTACATCTTCATTGGGTTCTTTGTTCCCTTTTCATGTATAAAGGACTATTCTCCTACATAGAGGGTTTTTTGTTATTTCCAGCTAATGTGTAGGGTTTTGAGCAGGAGAATCAGGACCAAACAATGCCTGTTGACTCATGAGTCTGCTCTTCTCTCAGCTACACCTCAAGAATGTGCTTCTAAGAGAAATAAAAAATGAACCATTTTCCGGTGAGTTACTTGTTTATTCTTCACTTTATTTTACATAGTATTTTATGAGATTTGTGAGGACTATAAATAAAAATGGAATTGTAGAAATGAGTAAAAAGCTTCAGGGTAGTGCACATAATAAGATAGACTTGACATGTAGTCATAGGCAGCTTCTTTACTTTTTTTCTTTGTCAGTACTGGTATTTGAACTCAGGGCCACACACTTGCTAGGCAGGCAATCTACCACTTTAGCCACTTCACCAGCCATAGGCAGGTTTTAAGATGCTAAAAACATCTGTGTTGAGTACCAGTTTGTCTCTGCACTTTTTTTGGTGGGAAGTACAGTATTGAGGTTTGAACACCTTGTGTTTATTAGACATGCATGCTACCACTTGAGCCATGCCTTCACCCTTTTTCCTTTAGTTGTCTTTCAGGCAGGGTCTTGTGTTTACCATAATCCTCCTACCTCCACTTCCTTTGTTGCTGGAATTATAGGTGTGCTTCTCACACCCAACTTGTTTTTTGAGATAAAGTCTTGCTAACTTTTTTGCTCCTGCTTCCCTTGAACCATAATCTTTCTATCTCTGACTTTGGATTATCCAAGATTACAAGTGTGTGCCACCATGCCTGGCCCTATCTCTGTTCTTTCTGATGCCATGACAAGAGGAAGACACATTTGTTACATGATTTGAATGCTGAGACGAAAGCATGCTAACTTCTATGGGACATAAAAACTTCACCAAAGGCTAAAACATTACCTGGTTTCATAGAAGTTGTAGTGAGTTTTTCATGACCAACTTCTATTGTTCTGCAGTGGAAATGGTTATCTGAGCTAATGCAATACACTCTTAATAAGTTTTTCTGGAGTTGCTAAAATAGTGTGGTCCCAGGCATTGGTTCATGGCTAAAACCTGGAATATCTGGAGGATCGAGTTGGCCACAGCTTGTTCAGTGTTTCTGTTACCTGTTTATCAGCCTCATGTACATGTGCACACTGTTCAAAGTTCAATTTCTTGGCAGATCTTCTCACTGCTCATTTGTCCTTTTTCCTGCTCAGCTTTGTGTTAGTTCAAAGTACAAATTCTAAAGGATCTGTCATGTTTTCAAATTCCTTTAAAGGCTGCATTTAGTTTCTCTTCTATTTTAGCTATATAAGAATGAATAATACAAAATGGATGTTTGCACGAGCTATGGCTATGGTTATGGATTATAACTGTAGTTGGTTAAGAGTAAAAAATGATCACTTCACTAGCTGAACATTTTAAATTCACAATTGTGTTTTGAGAGAGAATATAATTGTGAAATGTGCTTTACCATTCACTGATTTTGAGCCTAATGTCAAATCTAGTCCTCCAAATTCCATGTTTCAATTTAAGGTAATTGCTATGGTGTCTAGTGATGTTTAAGGTATTCAAACTCAAAAACTTACTGGCTTAAATAAAATTCTCATTATGTGTCACAATTTTGAGGGCCAGGGAACTGGGCAAGGTAGTATGGCTTGTTTTGTGTATGTTATGGTGTTTCATTGTGTGTCTAGTCTGCTTCAGGGCAGTGTAGTCAGGTACATAATGTCTCTTCTTCCAGATGGAAGGTCACTAGTGGCATGAAGTTTCATTCTGGCCACAAATTACTCACATTTCACCAAAGTTCAAAATATACTTGGCCTCTCTCAGTTCCTTCAGAGTTCCTTCCTATTTTGACACTGGTAAGATGCCTAATTAAATCAGGTCCTGGAAGTTATCAGGGGTCTGGGGGTCATGTCAGGCTATTGTCTGTGGTCATGTTCAAAGAATTGATCTGAGAGACAAGGAGTTCATGGCAAAACTTATTGAAAGAGGAAACTGAAGATATCCCTGTCAAGGAAGAAACTGAGGGCTAGAGCCCTGCAGGTCAAGAGCCCAGTTGTCTGGGGTCTCACTGGCTTTTATGTGGTTTAAGCCAGGCTGGTGGGAGAAAACTGTGTTTCTGCAGGCAGAGTTAGGGCAATTAGCTGATTTGTTTGACAGCTTGATGATAACTGATTTTTGATTGTGCATATTTCTTCCCATAATTCACTCTAATTGTATGCATAAAAATCCAGCAATATTCATGAAGCCTTAAGTAGAGAAAAATACCTAAAAAGTTACTACAGGTGACAGGTGGGCTACACTGCACATAACTTCAGAACTGGTTGGAACCAGTTATCTCTCCTTCCCCACTTTGCAGGATGCAGGAGATCACAAGAACTGAACTATTAAGCCTCAAAGGGTATATCAGTGGGTCAGAGGGAGGTGTGGATTTTAATTCTCCTGCCTGAATTCCACTCTGAGAGACAAGATCCCCCAAAATCTTTTAGAGATTGTTGAGAGAGAGAGAGAGTCAATCTCTCTCTCTATGTTTATCAGGAGCAGTCAACCCTACCTACAGGCGATCCTTGTCCTAAATCTGTCTCAACTTGGGACCAGGGTATATGGATAGTGGAAGCATTCTCCAGTCCTGTCGAGTTCATTGGGCCCCAGAGCCTGGGCTGGCTTTGAAGTGTACAGCTTGCTGCCTGGATGAGATAAACCTCGAAAGGCAGTTAATAAGATAAGGGCTGATGAGCAAAACCAGCAGATTAGAAGCAAGGGTTCAAGGAAGTGAGACAACCAAGTTTCTTCCCAAGAGAGCCATCCTTTTGCAACTCTTTCCCTTAGGTCTCTGGTCTTTCCCAGTACCTGTTTGATGTTGTTTTGTATTTCCCCAGATTTGTTAACATAAAAGCAGCATTCTTTTCCTAACATAGCACAAGTCCCATCCTGGGAGGCAGTGATCATATCCAAGGCAGGTCTATTCTGCAGTACCATGGCTGCTAGACAACCTGTGTTTTGAGGTCTAGGAGAGTGGTGGTTATCTTATTTAGGCTTTCAGGTATTTCCCAAAATAGGTTTTTGTATAACCAAGTTACAGTGGCAATGCATACTGAAATTCCCAATGAGAACCCCCTAGTCCCAGCAGCAAATGGACCAGTGGTATGACCTGTGTTCACAATCTCATCTGGACCTTGGCTTGGTGTTTGAGAGCCTCTCTGGGAGTCAGATCAATAGCAGGGAACAGGTAAGCCAAGGTGCATCCCTGTCCAGTTGGTAGGTAGGTATATATATGCCTGTTTTCCACATAGGAAGAACATCCCTGTGGAGGATGTCACCGAGTTAGAAGGGACACAAGTCCGAATGTGTCTAAGACTCCACTGCTGCCACAGCCCCTCCTGGTGCACAGTACTCTATTGTATAGTGACCAGTCAGGGCCATGGCAGTTAGGGGGTGCAGGCATGGTGAATAGCACCCTGAGTCTTATTTTCTCAAAAGATTCGATGTCTGTTAAGGTCAATAAGTCTCCGGGCCTTGGGTCCTAGCTTACTGGTACCCAGAATTCAACTTATTACATCCTAGGGACCAATGGGGTTTGAACCAATGGCTTCCTGCACATTTCTTTTTTGGGTATTGGGAACAAAATTGAGCCTTCATGATGTCTAGCTCTTGGTCCCTATCCAGTATGTGTAGGATCCTCTCCCCTTCTCTCTGTATTCATCCGTGGATGAAGGTGCCTAAGTTTCTCTGTAACTGTAATGGACAATGGACATTGAAAGAGCTCTCAGTGCCTCAGCACCCTTTTCCCACTTGCCTGTACACAAATGTGCGGCTGGCCCTGGTATGGTAAGGTATAGGGGAGAGCAAGCTCTTTTATTCTGTTAAGGCTACTAGAATATGAAGATACAGATTGGCTGCAGTGTGCTCTGTCTCATCCACTCCCTGTTGGATCCAGAAAGAGTTGCTGTATTTTCAGTTTCTTCAGCTTCA